CAGCTCACTGCCCCCAGTGGTCAGTATGAGGTTCACACCCACCCAGCCCTCCCGGGGCCAGTTCTCTTCCCCTCCAGAATACCCCCTCAGGCCACCGAGGGTCTGTTTGGTACCCCCCCCATCTTTCTCCCGCAGGCCACCAGAGCAGCCCGCCTGGGGCCTGTTCTCTTCCCCTCCAGAATACCCCCTCAGGCCACCGACGGTCTGTTTGGTACCCCCCCATCTTTCTCCTGCAGGCCACCAGAGCAGCCCGCCTGGGGCCTGTTCTCTCTTCTCCCTCCGGTGCTGTGACCAAGGGCCAGGAGCGGGGAACGAGTTTGGGGGAGGGACTCCCTTGATGGTGTGGCTGCCCCCACTGGACACTCTCAGTGTCACGCTCCTCGGAATAGCCACTCCTCCCCTTGCATGTTATGGAGAACTGTCCCTTTCCCAGGGCTTCTGGTTCTCCTGGCACAACCAAACTCTGGCTTTGCTTTAAGTTAGGAGAAGAGGAAGCTGTTTCCCACGTTCGGTGGCTCTAGCTCTTACTCTTCAGGAGGAGTTCCTGAAAAAATGGACTCACAGACACACAGACAGAGAAGCTGGCAATGCCTATGAAGGCTAATGATGATAAATCACAACAAAATGAGAAGGTGAACCCATTTAACTTGCTAAAACATCTCCAATGTGTTATGGAATGTTCAATATTGATTTTGATTCAACTAGACCTTCATTAAAATTATCTGTTCTACCCAGCTGCCAAATATACCTGCTCAATAATATCCAAATTCATTATGTTTTATTTTAATCATATTTCATTTTAAAATTTAATTTTACCCACATATTAGCTTCATATTACTTATGCAAATATAGGCTTTATGGCTATATTAGCTATAATTCGTTATTTTCCCTACTGCCTGAGTGAAGGAATTTGTACCTTTGGAGTACATCCAGCATTTTTAATTGATGATAGGTGAGTCTACATTTCATTCAAAACATTTGCACATACAAATGAAATACCATTAGCATAAATTTCTAATATACTTTCCATACTTAGGGCTAGTTTGCAACTTAATCTGTAGTCCAAATGAGGGATAATGCATAGAAGCAACATCCTAGGAGCAATCTAGGGAGGAAAATATGGCTCTCACAATTGGCACTGGAGGGAATTAATCTCATTTCCATTCTGCTCCATTTTATCTGTGATGGCTGGTAGGTTGGGGAAGTGTAGAGCCAAAATTCCATCTAGTCTCCACCTCTCTTTGCCCATCTATCAGCTCCCTGCAGGTGGAAGATGGAAGCAATGACTGTACCATGTCTACTTTCCCCACACGGTGTAATGGACAGGAGGAGTGCTGATCAGCACCTGGTGACTAAGGGGTTAACTCAGGTAGCTATCAAAGGTTTTGGCTGGGGGGCTGGGAGAACCAATCAAGATCGAGGGTTGAAATTTGAATTGGATGTAGGTTCCCTACTTTCTTTGTGTGGAAGAGATAAACCAGGGGTTGAGAGACACAGAATGATATAAACCCAGGGAGGACTACTATGTCCCCATGGAATTCAGGGCATGGGAGAGGACTTAACAAAGAGAAAATTAGAAGTACAGCCTCTCTCCGAGTTATGGACCAAACACTTGGCCGTAACTCAATCTGTTCATAACTTGGACCCCATTGAGTTACACGCGACCACGCTGTTCATAAGCACGGGTTGCATTCGTAACTCGGGGACCGCCTTTACGAACACTCCATGGGAGCTTTGGTCGTAAGTGCGAACGGTTGTAACTCAACCGTTCGCAACTCGGGGAGCGGCAGTAACCAGGAAATGTGAATCCAGTTGTGTTCAGGGCAATTTTTCTTTATTTTGTGGTTTGGTTTGAACTGCTCTGTGTGAATCTATGCCACCCCTCCCTCTTTTCCATCTAAGCATTGTGCCAGAGTTTTTCTCTGTTTGAATTTATTTTCCTTAGTTGCTCTGTAACATCTAGCAACCAAGCATGCTCTCTCCAGTTTATCTTTGGTTTTGTAATAAAAATCACTTCTTTTAAGGCGATGATTTGATTATGGCACCCTGGAAGGTCTGTCTGTGGGTATCTGCAGGGCTCTGACTGAGAGGTCAGCTACCAGAGATTGCAGCTTGTTTTTCTCTTTTCTTTTTTGCAAGCTCTTTTGGGGTAAAAGAGTTTTGGGTTCTCTTGGGGGTGATTTCAAGTTCAAGTTCACCCCCGGTTTTGGGGATAAAAATCTCTTGATGGTGACAGCAAATCTCCCAAAATCTGTGTATTGAGATTCTGGGGGGAAGTTTTGATAACCAGTGTCTATAGGGGCAAGGTTTTGAGCATTTTGTGGGCCCCCACTTTCTGTACCACGAGGGTACATCTAGACTATGTTCTTCTTTCAAAAGGAGATATGCAAATTTGGTGCTAATTTTCATATTTTCTGATCACTTTTTCAAAAGCTTTTTTTTCAAAAAAGAAAGCAGTTTAGACACAATTCTTTCAAAAAAAAACCCCATCTTTTTTGAAAGAACTCTGCATGCCTCATTTTTGAGGAAGAAGGGTTCTTTCGAAAAAAGGGTTTTTTTCCCTGAAAGAACCATGTCTAAACTTTTCAAACCGTGTCTTTTTAAAAAAAAAATGCTTTCGAAAAAGCAATCGGAAGAAAATATGCAAATTAGTGTCAAACTTGCATATCTCCTTTTGAAAGAAGAACATAGTCTAGATGTACCCTGAGGCTGTGTCTAGACTACATGGCTCCATCGACGGAGCCATGTAGATGAGGGTTGTAGGCAAAGGGAAATGAAGCGGTGATTTAAATAATCGCCGCTTCATTTAAATTTACATGGC